CTTCTCTCTCTCCTTTAGGGGTTGTTCTCCTAAAATAAGCTGCCTTCCCCCTCCAGGAGCAGGGCTGTCAGTGAAGCAGAGACGCCGGGCTCGCAGCGATCAGCCCCGCTGCCCACGCCGCCCTAGGGCTGCCCGGCCCCGTGGGTGCGGCGGTGCCGCAGCAGCGCGGAGCTGACGGCGAAGCCCCTGCCGCAGTCGGCGCAGGCGAAGGGGCGCTCCCCGGTGTGTGTGCGGCGGTGCTGGGTGAGGTGGGCGCTCTGCCGAAAGCTGTCCCCGCAGTCGGCACAGGCGTACGGCCGCTCCCCGGTGTGCACCCGCCGGTGCCGCAGCAGCGCCGACCTCCACAGGAAGCTCTTCCCGCACTCCACGCACCTGAAGGGGCGCTCCCCGGTGTGGAAGCGGCGGTGCTGGATGAGGTGCGAGCTCACCGTGAAGCTCTTCCCGCACTCGGAGCACCCGTACGGGCGCTCGCCCGTGTGGAACCGCCGGTGCTGGATGAGGGCGGAGCTCACGGTGAAGCTCTTCCCGCACTCGGAGCACCCGTACGGCTTCTCCCCGGTGTGGACCCGCTGGTGCTTCATGAGCTCGGAGCTCTGGCTGAAGCTCTTCCCGCACTCGGAGCAGCCGTAAGGCTTCTCCCCGGTGTGGACGCGCCGGTGCCGCGCCAGCGCCGAGCTCACGCTGAAGCTCCTCCCGCAGCTGCCGCACTCGTAAGGCCTCTCCCCGGTGTGCACCCGCCGGTGCTGCACGAGCTGGGCGTTCCCGGAGAAGCTCTTCCCGCACTCGGAACACCTGTAGGGCTTCTCTCCGGTGTGGGTCACCTGGTGGCGGAGCAGCTTGGAGCTCACGCTGAAGGTCTTCCCGCAGTCGGAGCACTCGTAGGGCCTCTCCCCCGTGTGGGTTCTCTGGTGCTGGATGAGATGAGAGCGTTGCCGGAAACTGCCCCCGCACTCGGCACAGCCGAAGGGTTTCTCTCCAGTGTGGATCCTCCGGTGCTGGATGAGGTTGGAGCTCACCCGGAAGCCCTTCCCGCAGTCCCCACATACCATCAGTCTCCCCACAGATGGATTTCTCTGCTGGGTAATGTCTGTCGGCCTCCTGAGACTCTTCCCACGCAGCATCACTCGGCTTTGCCTCTTCCCCAGAGGTCTCTGAACTCTTTCTGACCTGTGTGGGATGACTGGGTCCTGTGCTGGATTCTGGGAATTGTTCTCCTTGGAGAGTCCTGAGAGTAAAGCCTCGGGCTCTGCTGGCCCAGGGATGCCTTGGTGGGCATTCTCCTCTTTCTTGCTCACAATCCCATCTTCAGCTGCAAAAAAAGGAGAATCCAGAGAGAAGTCACAGGCAGGACAGGAAACATTGGACAGGGGAAATCGAAAGGGGCCAAATTCCAAAAACTCACCAGATTAGGTATAAAAAGTTTCGATATTTCCCTCCAAACTCTACAGTGGATTTCTCAAGAGTGTTCACAGAAATAGATGGCCCTGGGTGCTCTGCCAGAACCTGAATCCACTGAAATTATTGGCTTATTAGAGGTGAAAGTTTAGTGCTTGAATGGGAAAGATGGCTGCTCTTCCAAGATATCTGAAAACATTATTAAAAGCTGAACTGGGAGTCATGGAAGGGCCACAAAGAACTGCCCTGCTGAGCAGAACAGATGCAGCATCTGTGCTGCTGGTGTTGCAGAGAGAGAAAAGATGCCTAAAGGAGACATTGGCCCTAAGGGATGAGACATGGAGACCACCTGGAGCCTGGCTGATGCCAGTCTTAGAGCAGAAGAAAGGCAATTTTGTGCTCCATGGGTGCAAAGCAAACCTGGTGTGGGAGGTGGTTGGTGAATTGAAGATCCTCTGCGGGCAACTCCAGATAATTCACTGAGGAAATCCAATATAAACACAGAAGATGAAGGCAGTGCAAGTCCATGGGAAGCAATGCCAACTGAACAGTACAAACAGCTCCTGGGACACAGGCAATGAACAAATCCCTGCCCTCTGATTCCCATCAAGTCTTGCAGAAACACAAGTGGGATGAATCTGTGCTGCACAGACTCAGGGTCACCTGAAAGCCTTTCCAGACAAGGGGCTGCACAAATTCCTCAGGTATCTACACAGAGCACTGCCTCCTTCCAGCCTGCTGCTCATCTATCCTCTAGGATAGAGGATGTTCCTCAATCCTCTAACATGGATTGAGGAGCATCCCAGCAGGTCCAGAAGCACAGATCCCAGCAGTGCTCTGGCTTCTGCTGTCAGTGGGGCCGTGGAGCTCTGTGCAGACTCACTGAGGGCTCATGAGCTAAACTGGCAAGACAGGATGTGTGGCACAGCCCCATCTGCTGCCAGGGAAGGGCCAGTGGATGTCAGAGGGATGTACATGGGATGTAGAAATGGCAGCATGCATCTCTGAGGAGAGGCATCACATCCAGGGTTAGGACAGGTCAGTCAAGGGAAGAGATTCCAGATCATCGTGTACAGACCTGCTGTTGACTACACATAGACCCAAAACATGGCACAGGCTGAGGACTGAAGCTGCAAACACACAGAGCTCCAGATCTGCCCATGGAAAAACTCAATGGCTCCTCCTGGATCTCTGAAAACCCCTGTGGAATGAACTGGTAACATACCAGTCATGTGGGGCTGATGGACAGACCACGGGCACTGCCAGTGCTCTGGCAGAGCTGGGATGAGGAAATGCCTGCCTTGAAACAGGAGAGTCACTGCTGAACCAAGAAAGGAAGGAGAGTCCAGAATTACAACCCAGATGATACAAGTACATATTTGATCTTCCTCTTTCTAGTCACTGTAAGAATGATTTCACTTTGAGCTCCTGAGATGCCTTTTGTGGCAGTTTGGTGTGGCATTGATGCTACTTTTCCCTCACATAGTTTCCCTTAAAATCACTCCTTGAGAGGAACAGAAACTGGAACTTTGCTATCCACTTCCATCTATCTGTAGGAGAAGAGAAGAGGGATATCCAAAGGCAGGATAAGGACATTTCTGTCAGTCCAGCATGAAACTCCTGACCTGTAGGTCTGACTTACTGAGCAGACAGTGGAGCTTGGGAAGTTGTTCTGTTGCTGTTGCCTGTAAAGGGTTTCATCAAAATCGTGAACACAGGACCTCACCAGAGGAATTCACACTGGAAGCATTAGGGCTGAACTGGCAAAAATGAATAAGCAAGAGAAAAAGGAAGAGTGTGGCTCCTTGTCAGCCCAGGCCAATTTAGGTTATGCTCAGGCCTCTGATATGCCCAAGATTGCCAGGGATAAGCTACAAGGAAAGCTCCAGGTAAGCAGAGTGAGTGTAAACATTGAGAGAGAACCTAAATATCACCTTAAATGTACCCTTGGATCTCTCTTTCTCAGGAGAAGCCACCTGGAGCTCTTCAGAGATGTCACCAATTTTAGCAAAAGGGAGATCTGGAGTGCAAAGGTGTTCCCAAAGACATTCATCCTTCACCAAAACCGGTAAGGAAACTGATTTGCCATGGGATGAATGACCCTCACAAGGTGGGAATGAAGGGAAAAGAAGGCGGATGATAATTCTGTTATTCAGGGGTAGGACACAAAGGCTGACTATAAACTGTGTCAGAGCCTTATGACCAGCCAGGTGACAGGGGACATTCACTGCAGGTAAACACAAAGAACTGCAGAGGTGAACAGCATCTATACCTTGCACTTTTATCAGAATGGGCCCAGGATGTTCTTGGTATTATTCAGGAATAGCACCATGAAGTTAGAGCAGATGGATGAAAACTGCAGCTCCCAGGCAGACAAAACAGCTCATCAAATGCTAATGATTGTTTGGGAAAAACAATCAAACCCCACATCCTGAGTGTGTGCAAGGAGGGGATGGATCCCCCCCTTTCAGAGAAATTCCAACAGAGCTGAGGCAGATACAGAGGATGACATGAAGGATCTGTACTCCTGTACTGATTCTGTACAGATGACTCAGCTGCCCATTCTGTTGTGAAAAGGCACAGCTGACAGGGCTATTGCAGAGGACTATAAAACCACAAGTGGCCCATGGGTGGGAATCTCTGACATCAAGTGAGCTCCTAGAGGGCAGTGTCAAAGCAAACCAAAGGAGGCAGTGACTCACGAAGCAGCTGAATATGCTGTGAAACTGCTGCCTGAGAGCTGTCACTGATGCTAAACCGTACACAGCTTCAGATAGCAAGAAATTACAGACAGGGCTGTGAGATTAGGTGTGTCTAGTTCAGGACTTTCTGAAGCCACAGAGTGCCAGGGCCTGTGAAAGCATCCATGGACACAGCACTGCCTGTCTGCCTTCTCTGGGATCCAGCCCCAGCCTCTGCCAGGAACAGCAGCAGTACTGGGAAGACTGTGTTCCATCCTGGTACCACCAATCCTGCACATTCTGGTGTGGTTTGGGGATCCTGGAGAAGTTTTTCTCACTGCCAGGTTCACAGATGACTTGGCAGTGCTGGGTTAATGGTGGGACTCGATGACCTTAGACAGCTTTTCCCAACTTTAACGATTCTATGACTGTACCATCCCCTCACCTGGACAGCTGTCGCTCAGAACCATCTCGGTCTTCACTTGGAAGGTGCAGAGGTGGGAGAACCACAGTTCCTCCTTACGATCCATGTGGGAGATCATCTCCAGCTCCACTCTGGGGGTCCTGCTCCGTGGGGGAGACACGAGGTGGGTCAGACGGGCCGGGCGGGGACCCCGGACACGGACCCCGGGGTGCACCGGGCCCCCTGCACCGCTACGGGCCCGCGGGAGCCGGGAGGGGCTGTGGGGGCTGCCCAGGCGTGGGGGGCGGCTGGGTATGGACCCCAGGAAAAGCCACCTGTCCCAGCCCCGCCGGTGCCCGCGTCCCGTCCCCGGGGGTCCCGTCCCAGCCCTGGGGGTCCCCGTCCCGTCCGGAGGTCCCGTTCTGTCGCGGGGTCCCGTCCCAGCCCCGGGGGTCCCGTTCCGTTCCCAGGGGTCCCGTCCCGGGGGTCCCGTCCCAGCCCCGGGGGTCCCGTTCCGTCCGGGGGGGTCCCGTCCCAGCCCCTCACTCGCTCTCGGTCCCGCTCGGTGGCTCCGCGGCCGCTGAGGCGCCGTCACGTGACGGGCACTGGTGGCCAATGGCGGCGGCGCCCGCGCCGCTGAGGGCCACCCAAAATGGCGGCGGCGATGGCGGCAGTCCCGTCTCGCCTGAGGGCCCGTTACCCGCTGCCCGCTCCGCTCCGAGCCCTCCCCGCAGCCGCGGGGCCCCCTCCCGTGTGCCGGGTGAGCCGCCGCGGCTGCCGGAGGGTCTCCCCGCAGGCGGAGGGTTTCCCTTGGTGTGCCTCAACAGCGCTTCTGGAGGGAAGCGAGTGCCCACCCCGGGGGCAATACAGACCCTTTGCGCCAGAGGCTCAGTGAACAAGACGCGATCGAAACAGCGCTTTCTAAGGGAAGTATCCAGAGAACACCCGAGCAGAGCTCTGGAAATCCGTACGTGGGCTCGGTGCCCTTCCAGGAGTTGGGGACCCAACCTGGGCTGGGGCCGCCCAGGTCCCGAGTGTTGGGAAAGAAGCAGCGGGATTGGTCTGAGCTCAGGCACCAGCTTAAATTCTTAGCAATCACACATGGTTTGGGTTGGAAGGGACCTTAAAACCCATCTCATCCCACCCCCTGCCATGGGCAGGGACACCTTCCACTAGCCCAGGTTGCTTCAAGCCTCGTCCAGCCTGGCCTTGGACACTTCCAGGGGCAGGGAGCCCAAACCTCTCAGGGTAATCACAGGGATGTGTCACCTCTCCCAGGCACTCTGTGTTTCATTAACCAGCTGACGTGCAATGCCTCTGGAAGAAATGTTATGCTGGGATAATAAGCAAACCAGCACATTTGAAATGCTCTCCCAGAACAGCTCCAGTCCCCTTGAAGAGCTGCAGGGAGGATTGCTCTCACATTTATCCCTTCCATATCTAAACACTGGCACCTGTAAGTGTGACTCTGTTAGCCCAGTAGAAGGGGAAGGCACAGCAGTCTATGTTCTGTGCTTTACAGAACATATTTTGTAGTTATTTTGTAGTTAAAACCTCCAAGGGTCTCAGCCACGGTGCTGTGTAACAACGCCATTAAACAGGCTGAGTGTACACACAGAACTCTGCCTGTGTAAGGAAACTCTTTTCTCAGAATTATTTCACAGAAATCTGCAGCACAGCTTTGCAGAATAAACCCATTAAAGCCATTTTTTTCCAGGCAGGAAATGTGGCAATACACAAACCAACATGGACTATCCTAATGAGTCCCACTGGTCATTTGATTATCACAGCAAATTTAGAAGCTCACATGGTGCATCTTGGTAAGACAGAGGCTTTGTGCAATGCCAATAACATATCTGCTCCTTTCTTTAACTTAACAACTAATATTCTAGTTGAAAAGGTTTGGGGTTTTTTTGCAGCACTTGAAGTGTTTTAAAAAAACGAGATCTCAAACTGTTTTTGATAACTGTTACTACAGAGCTGGGAATAAAAAATTATGACAATTTATCTTTCAAGGTAAATGAGCCTGCATTAGGAAGGTAAAACCCACAGAAATATCTACAAATTGAATTATTTGGCAACACATTATCACTGGCAGATGGCAACATCAGCCTTAGATCAGGCAGGCCTGCGTTGCTCATGGATTAATGAAGCAGGAAAATGAATAATTGCTTTCAGATAATTTGCAGTGTATGTCAGATGTATCCTTATGGTCTTGAAGGCTGAAAAAGATTTCAAATCCTTTTCTCATCATGTAACAAAAGTTTTAGAATTACATTTTGTCAAGTTCAGCAATAAGGAGGAATCAAGGCAAGTCTCTGCAAAGTGGTCACCTCCAAACACCGACAGCACAGATGTGGTATGAAAATACAGCTTTTTTTCCTGCTAAACAGTGCTTTATGACATGATGTGAGTGATTATAACTTACATCCACTGAACTGTGATGCTGCATTCAATGAAGGTAACATGTAATAAAAGAATTGATCACAAAATCTTTGACTGTAGATGTAAGTCTTACCCAAAAACAGAACAAAAAAATCCTGGGATGGGATATTTATTTTACCATATTAAGACTGGTAAGTAGGACTGAAGTTTTTCCATGGGTGAGGTGTAGACTTGAGAAATACAAGTACACCAAGGGAGCAGCATTCACTGGAAGGCCAGTTAAGGCAAGCCTTGTCTTTTTCCCATAACAAAGTCACTGCTGGGAGCTCTTGAACTGAGCGGGAGTGGTCACCCATTTTCCCTTCCCCAGCAGCCCCCCAGGGAGGAGGAAAGCTGGGCAGGCCCCGAGGCTCCTGGGCCTCTTCCTTGCCAGCCCTTTGCCCAAGGCCCCGAGGCAGAGGTGGGGCTCAGCCCCTGCGCAGGAATCGGGCACAGGCTGAGCCTCAGGGACACCAGAGCCAGGCGGCCTGAGCTGTTCTCCCTGCAGCATCTGCCTGGGGCAGCCCAGCCAGGCCTGAGTCTCTCCAGGAGAGGCCAAGCCCAGCCACAGAGAGCTCAGCCCCCTGAGGCCCCTCAGCCCCTTTCATCTGACTCCCTGTCCTGTGTCTTCCAGGAGAAAGGGCCACACAGCCTCGGCCATACAAGGGACCTGCTGCCAGGGGCAGGGCTGCTCCGAGGAGTTGATCCTTTTGCTGAAGGAGAACCAAGACCTGATGAGGATGTGCCTGGGCCTCTGCTCTCTGCAGAGGGCATTGCTGAGAGAGGAGGAAACGGACGACTCGGAAGAGGAGGAGACTCCACTGCTCTACTTGACCGTGGATCCCCAGCTCCAGCAAGGCCCTTCCCTGCAGAGCCCCACACCCACCACCCCAGGGGAACCAGGCAGCTCGTCCTCGTCTCACTCCAGGCAGCAGATCCTCAGTTCCTCAGCCATTGCTGGGGATCTTTACACCTCTCCCTGCTGCTGAGTGATCCTGGCAACTCCTTTTCCTCTAGTTCTCTGCTCCAGATTTCAGCCAGTCCCAGCACAGACTGTGAACCCCCCTGCCCTCAACCAGACCCAAACTGCTGTTTAGACCCCCCCCTTAAATCTCTTCTAGGTTGTTACTTAGAGTTTAGAATAAGGACCTTATAGATTGTTTATTGTGTAGAACAGAAATCAAAATTGAAGATAATACTTTATCAAAAATAAAAAATAAAAATTTTACATTCCAAGTCTATAAATACCTTTAGAAATCTGGCTTCTTTTTGTGAAGTGTTGTGTCCATTTTGTTCAGTGACTCTTTGCACACTCCGAAGTGCCAGAACAGAAAGAAATCAGAAGATGTGAAAATTGATACACAGAATAAGACAATTTAGGGTCCAAGACCTTCCCAAGAGTCCCAGACAGTTTCCAAGTGGGATCAGTCCAGTTTGTAAATGGGACTGACCAGAAAAGCAGTTTTATTTCAGGGTGTAAGAAGTGCTGAAGAGATCCAGTGGGTACTGTAATCTTGCATTCAAGACATCTGTGCCAGGGACACACTCAGGCCACACCAATAAGGTCAAAGGGCATTCAGGAGATGCAGCAGAAGGGATTTTAACACAGGTCCAGCCTGGAAATGGACACACCCCAGTGAATTTTCCAATCTAAAGGGCTTTCGCATGACACTGGGTGTCAGGGGTGCTTTTGGGAGCCATCCCAAAGAGACCAAAGAAGGACACCTCCACTGCTCTGCAACTGTTCTAGAAACACAGATTGAGAAAGTTTATACTAAAGATTGGAAAGTGAACCAAGGAATAGAGAAAAGGACAGAAAAAAGGCCTTGTATGTATTTCTACAGCACTCCCTGCCTTCACAATCAGCAGGACAAAGTGTGCTGAAGGAAGGTGGAAGTTCCTGGTCCAAACAAGCACCGCTTTCCATAGTGGATTGAATACTGGAAGGTGAAGGGGAATGCATTTCCCAGCCCAAAGCCAGGGAAAAGGTCATGGCAAATGTCACTGAGGGAAGCACCAGCATGAAGAAAAGTTGGGGACCTAAAACCTATTGCAAAAATGGAAAGAAAAGGCACAAGAGTAAAACTGGGGGGTGCTGAAGGCAGGCCAGCGATGGAGGGGTTTGTGCCAGGGGAGCAGAGGCTCCCATGGCTCTGGAACAGGAGCACGGCTCAGCCTTGTTCTCTGGGATGTGCTCTGGGAGCAGGGCACGAGGAGGAGCTGTGCTCCCACCCAGCACCCACCACGGAAGCTCCACCTGGGAAGGGGGTTTCCAGCTCAGCAGCGAGGCCTCCACACCCAGGAGTGTCAGGGTGGAGGAGTGACCTTCACTCGGCGTCGCCTTCTCTGTTTTTTGTTCTCTTTTCTTTTCTGTACCTGCTCTTTCCGGGCCCCGGCCATGGTACATGTGATACACTGAGAATCCAGGAAGTCCAGCAGCTTTGCCTTGGAAATTTTGATGCCGTTCTGCTTGAGCTCTGCGTGCAGATCCACCAGCTCGAGTGGCTCATAGAAGAGAATCCTGTTGTACAGGGCTGTGTTGGAGCGGATGTAGCACCTCACTGCCTCCAGCTTTTCTTCTTCCCGAGCTGCTGCTTGAGATGCTGGAAACTCCTCTTCCTCCTCCTCAGATGCAAAAGCACAGGTTTCAAATCCATTCACAAAAGAACTAAAAGCAAGATCAAATAGACCACAGGTCAAGGAAAGAACAGGCTATCAAGGACAGGACCAGAGTTCCCCAAAATCCCTGATGGTGAACCCCTGGGACTTCCCTCTACAGGGTTGCAGACTCTCCCCTACTGGCACTCACAAAATGAGTGAGGCAGAACATGGCAGGGGGTCTGCAAACTTCCCCATCCCAGCTGTGACAGCGCTGATCTGGAGCTGTCTGGCATTCCAGGCTCCTGACCCATACTGCGTCAGGCTCTGCCCAGGGTGCTGTGCCAAGCTCTCCCAGCTCCAGCTGCAGGTTCTCATGAAACATGGAGTGCTCCTTGTCACTAACTTGTAGACCAGACGTGCTAGTTCTGGATCTTGCCCACACACAGCCACAATCCCTTTTATGTTCTGAGAATAGCTCAGTGGGAACAAGACTGAAAATCCAAAGCCTGTTCCTTTTGGAGTAGCATGCTGAGCTCCAAATGACACACCCGAGGAGGTGGCAGGGCCATTGTAGCCACACAGACACTCACCTCTCTTTGCCTCATTCCTACCTCATCTCTGTCCTGCACCATTGAGTGTTTTGGTTGGGATTTTGTTGCCTTACCTCTGTGATCCAAAGGAGATGTCGCTTCCATCCCCTGAAGAAGCTGCCGACTCCTGAGATGCGGAGAGCGTTGGTTCCTCACCATCAGCTGCCAGAGGCCCTGAAAAAACAGAGGGCTTTTCTTGCTCTTTGGCTCCTTCTGGGTGAGGTGTCACTTTAGTTCTCTCCTTGGGTGCTGCACAGCCCTTCCCATAGGATCCATCATCAGCCTTATCCATAGGGAGCCCTGAAGAAGCCGTGACCACCTGCTTCCTCTTGCCCACAGCCCTGGAGGCGCCGGCGCCCTTCCCGCCTCCAGCTCGGCCTGCCTTTGGCTGCCTCGGCCGCCTGGCCAGGGACTTCTCTGGGAGAGGCTGGGAATAGGGGATGTCATCCTCAAAGTCAGAGTCCCCGTCCCGGTGAGTGTACTGGAATATCTCCTTCAGCTTCAACACCATCTGGCGTTTTGGGAGAGCGCGAACTCCGAATCTGGAAGAGAAAGGTGGGAGTTTGGGTTACAACAACGCTGCACCTTCCACTGTCACAGCTCAGGACAAGGCTCAGGCTGGGAAGCGCAGCTGGAAAAGTGGGATGTCACCTCAAAAAGCACTGGCTGGAGCTTCACCATGGTTCACCTTCTTCCACACCACCTGCCAGCAAGTTCCTGCTCTGAAGAGCTGCACTGGTGAAGGTAACACTTACCTGCTCAACTCCTTCTTCAGCTGCGGGGTCTCCATGATGGAATAAGCTGGCATGGGGGTCACTGGAGTGCTGGGAGACCTGCTGTGCTCCTGACAGGAAGGTTCTGCAGCAGAATGAAATTATCATGATCAGAATTAGTAGAGAAAGAACTTAAAATGGCTGCTAACCTCCCCTCTAAGTGGCAGAAAGCTAATATTATTGAGTAATTGTTTAATAGCAACTACTTTCTTCTAAGCTGTTTTAGTTATTACTCAGCTTCATATTGGACTGAACAGTCAACACTTTTTTTTTCTCTAAACTGGGATACTTGGTTTTAATTGACTTTACATCAGAAAACAGCTTAAATTGGGACATACATCACATCTGAAAATGAGGCCCATTCAGGGCTTTGTTAGAGCAGGGAATGTTTACACAGCAGTTAAAAGCCATGTTTACTGAATTCTGGGCAGTGGCTCTTCTCCCAGGAAAGAAATTTCATAATAGAGACTTGATGCAGAAAAAATTGAGCAAATCAAGCTACTGGGGTCCAGAATTAGATGCTGATTTAATGACACCAGTTTACTGATACCATGAAGCACAGTCAGTCCCACACATCGTGTTCTAAACACCCCTTAAACTAATCACTTAGTATGGCATAATTAATAATATATTTCATTAGATACTGTGACATCAATTACTGGTCTTACATGGAAAGAACCATGCAAGGATGTGTGCTGGGCACGCAGAGGTCTCTCACAAAGGCCCAGATCCAGCAAGGAGAAGGCAGCAGGAGGCAGCAGTGCACCCATGGAGCTTTGCAGGATGCAAGAGCTTTGCTTTGCTGCATGGATGTGTGAAAAGCAAAAGTGCACAGAGCAGCCACTTCTACAGGGAGCAAATGTGCACTGGCATGCAGGCTGAAGGCTGTGTTTTGTTCTGTTTTGGTTGTTTTTTTCTCTCCAGGTACCCACAAGCTGCTGCAAGGAGTACTGCCACTATAAAGGACTGGTGTGAACAAAACACAAGTGGCTACGCTCCAGGAATCCCACATTTATTCGGGCTCTCTCCCACAGCAAATGACTGCACCTTCTTTGTGCCTGGCCCTGCCAACTGCTTCAGATCAGTAGGCCCAAAGACCCTTTTAATATATCAAGGGTGCCACAGGTGAGATAAGCACTTAAAATAAACACAATTTTAACTAGTCCAATAAATCTAGTAGGAATACAAGTTCTCACCAGGAGTCTTGACAGGATCTATCTGACAGGCACCAGCTGCAGCTGCCAACCTCTGAGACAGAGGAAGAATCTCTGGGACCTCATCTTCCTTCTCTTCTCCATTCCAGTCGTCCCAGATTTTGGAGTTGAGGTAACTGGGTCTGCTGCCCAAAGATGAATATGCCTCAATAGGGCTCTTCTCAGGGCAGAGCAAAGTTGTTCTCCTGCCAGCAGGACTTCCTTGGAGAGGGGTGCTGCCCTTAATTCCCTGGGTGTGGACTGGGCTCTCCCACTGGTCCTGCCAAGAGCCAGGGCTGGGGCTGCTGACCGTGCTGATCTTGGCACAGCTGACCTGGCCGGAGTCCTGGCTGTCACCTCTGACTGGTGACAGGTACTCAACGTGCCAACAGTCATCAGTGGGGAGCGGGGGCTCCTCACAAAGCAGGACACTGCTGCCCAGAGAAGGCAAACTTACTTCCCTTTCACCGTCCTCGACCTCCACCACGCTGATGTTTGGTCCATCTTCCAGGGGCTGCTCATGGCACGGAGGTTTGGATAAACCTGAGACATCGGCACATTTGCTTTTCGTGTTGGTGTGGCCAGGGGAAAGGAGAACTGGATCCACTGGAGGAACTGGTGGGGAGCTCTTGGAAAGGGAGCCTGCTGCTGGGTTGCTGGACATGCTCCTTTCAGTGGCTGAGTTCTCCATAGGCAAATCTTTATCTGACAGTGTTGTTTCATGGACTTTTTTTAAATTTCCAGTAATTTCATGGTTACTATGACCTGCTGCTAAGTTCTTTGTGCTGAGTTTAGATCTTGGACTCCTTAAAGAATTAATACTTGTGACGTGAGTCTGTGTTGAGAAGCTTCTGTTTTTGCTCAGAACTGGTGTGCCTGGCACAAGCCAGGAGCTGTCTGTGCCTGAGGACATTTCATGACTGAGCCTCTTCTCAGGGCTCGGGTTTGGACTCCTT